AGACGGAGTAGAAATAACGGGGGGTATATACACAGCAAAGAAAGGACAGGCAGAATTCGAAGTCACGTATTATACAGGTGAGGAGAAAAAGCTGTATTTGGAGGAACCCTTAGTAGCGACACGGTACAAACCGGAAGAGCATATAGAAATGGAGATGCTAGAGCCCTGTAAACGAACAGTGCATGAAACACAGTTAAATATTATAACAAGCAGTGCAGAGGACATGACAGAGAAAAGGAACTTGAAGAAAGAGATAAGGATGGAACATTTAAACGCAGAGGAAGCAAAAGGATTGTGGGAGCTTTGTTCTAAGTTTCCCAATATATTCCATTCAAAAGGGGATAAATTGACTTTCACCAATATTATCAAGAACGCGACCCCAACAACGGATGATATACCGGTGTATAAGAAGCCGTATAGGTATGGGTTTAAACAAAGAGAGGAGATAAAAAACCAAGTGGAAGAATTACTAGAACAGAAAGTGATCAGGCACAGCCATTCCCCTTGGAGCGCACCAGTATGGCTGGTTCCAAAAAAAATGGATATGTCCGGGAAGCAAAAATGGAGGCTCGTAGTAGATTTTAGAAAAGTTAACGAAAAAACAATAAAGGACAGATATCCGATGCCTGTAATTGGGGAGGTGTTGGATAAGTTAGGAAAGGCGACATACTTTTCTGTCCTGGATCTAGCAAGTGGCTATCATCAGATTGAGATGAAAGAACAAGATGTACAAAAAACTGCTTTTACAACTGAAAGCGGTCATTTTGAGTATGTTAGAATGCCGTTCGGATTAACAAATGCCCCGGCGACCTTCCAGAGGGTAATGAATAATATGATGGGAGATCTGATAGGTAAAATATGTCTGGTGTGTATGGACGATATTATCGTCTATTCACCATCTCTTCAGAGCCACATGCAGGATCTGCGCACAGTGTTCCAGAAGCTTAGTGACGCGAGGTTCAAATTACAAACAGATAAAACAGACTTTTTGAGGTAAGAAATTGAGTATTTAGGGCATGTAGTAACAGAGGACGGGGTTAAGCCCAATCCTAAGAAAATTGAATCGATTAAGCGATTCCCAATGCCAAGGACGGCAAAAGAAATAAAGTCCTTCTTGGGACTAGCAGGTTATTATAGGAAGTTTATTAAAGATTTTGCGAGAATCACTAAGACATTGACAAAAAGATTAAAGGGGAAACAAAAAATTGAAATAGATGACGAATATGTCAAAACCTTTGAATATTGCAAGACTCTTTTGTGTAATGACCCTGTGTTGCTGTGTAATGACCCTGCTATAGGAGCGGTGTTGTCCCAAGGGGCAATGGGCGCTGATAGACCCATAGCGTTTGCAAGCAGAACATTGAATGACGCCGAAGCAAATTATTCGACGGTAGAAAAAGAAATGCTCGCAATTGTTTGGGGGATAAAGTACTTCAGGCCCTACTTATTTGGACATAGGTTCACAATAGTTACAGATCACCGACCGTTAACGTGGCTTATGGGATTTAAGGAACCAAATTCAAAATTGGTCAGGTGGAAACTACAGTTACTGGAGTATGACTATGACGTAGTATACGTCATTGAACGACACCGTTCAAGAATAAACTGAGACGGGTAATCATAGAACCGAAATTTGATAGGGAAGGAATGGCTAGACTTTTGAAAGAGTTAGTTAAGCCTCATAGGACTTGCGCGATATATGCCCCTGACGATATATTCGAAATAATTCAGGATGTATACATAGACTACTTTAGCCAGGCCAAGTTGTATAGGATTCTGAGATGCTTGACGAAGTTGGACGAAATACAAGAACGAGATGACCAGGATAACGGGATCGCGAAGTATCACACCGCGGGGAATCATAGGGGAATAGACGAAACCTTTTGGCGCATGAGGCGACATGTCTATTTTCCGTACATGAGAAACAAAATAGCACAGATTTTTAATGGGTGTGAGATTTGTCAAACGCTGAAGTATGATAGGCAGCCACAAAAGTTGGTATTTCAAAAAACGGAGACACCAGAAAAGCCATTAGACATAGTACACACGGATTTGTATGCAGTTAATAAGCAGTACGTAATGACCATAATTGACAAGTTTTCAAAGTATGCTGTAGGGTACACAATTCCCGCTAGGGACACCTTAAAGTCAATGAAGCGATTCATTTGTCAGCATGGGATACCAAAGAAAATTGTCTGTGATCAAGGGGCGGAGTATGCTTCAAATGTTTTCAAGGATTTTTGTAAGCAATATGGAATTGAGTTGCATGTGACGTCATTTCAGCAATCATCCAGCAATTCACCCGTAGAGAGACTCCATTCAACGCTTACAGAGATATACAGGATTATTCAAAAAGTTAAAAAGGACATGAACTTAGAATGTGACCATGATGAAATCATGGATGAAGTGTTTATCACCTATAACAATGCCATACATTCAGCCACTAGGCTAACACCGTTTGAACTGTTCTCAGGGAGAACACATAGTTTTGAGGGACAAGTAGTGTTCAATGACGAGCACGAGTATTTGAGGAAGTTAAACCTGTACCAGAGAGAAGTGTACAGTAAAGTAAAAGAGAGGGTTGACGGTCAGAAAACGGCCAAAATTGAGAAGTTGAATGAAGAAAGGCAGGAACCAATAATGGTTGAGGAGAATGACGTAGTATATAGAAAAGAAAATAGGAGAAATAAGTTGACGCCTAGATTCACAACCCAAAAGGTAGACGAGGATAAAGGAATAACCTTGGTTACGAAAAGGAAACAGAAAATACACAAATCAAAAATAAGAAAAAGAATTAGGAGGCAATAATTTTGCAATTATGACATTACAGATTGCATGTGAGTCATGGACAGACCATGGACATTCGGAAGTTACAACCTGAAGAAGCGGTGGCAAAAATGGACCTCGGATCGGCAAGGGAGGAATGGGAGAATGGGAATGGGAGAAAAAATATTTGACCATGTCATAAAATTTAACAATTATAAGAAAAATATTGAGCAAATCAAAGAGGCTTTAGATGCCATTCAGGACATAGAATTTTCGGGAGAAATGGTAGGCATTTTAAGCGCAAAGTTAAATCAGTTAGAAGGAAGGCTAAGTACACTAATGCCGAAGAACAGGACAAGGAGAGGAATCTTTAATGGGTTAGGAAGCGTAATTAAAGTAGTAACAGGGAACATGGATGATGGAGATGCGCAAGAAATAGATGCAAGAATTAAAATTATAAATAATAAAACTGAAATAATGAAAGAGGAGATCATAGAACAGGAACATTTTAATCAAGAGATACTAAACAGATTCAAAAACATAACCGAACACATTAATAGAACGCAGGAGGAAATTAAAAGTTTCATTAATAATTACAAAAGCAACGTTTTTGGAAAACTAACGCAGGAGCATAATGAAATCCACATGTTACAGTACATGAACAGAATAAGCTTCAACATAGATCTATTAGCCATGCACTTAGACAGTGTAGCAGAAAGCATCTTGTTATCAAAATTAGAGATAATACCTAAGTTTATATTGTCCGAAGAAGAGATAAAAAGGATATCGGAATTTATAAAAAACCAAGATATAGAGATTGTAACAGATGAGCAGCTATATAGGTTGTTGCAAATGGAAGCATTAGTAAACGAAACCGATGTAATCTTTAGGATTAAAGCCCCAATTTTTAGAAATATAAATTACAAATTTTTTCATGTAATTCCGTTACCGATTAATTACACAAAAAAATGTTATAATCCCACAATATGTGGCTATTAATAATTATGAGATAAGTTCATTTCAAAACAAATGTCCAAAAGTACATAAGAAGAGTCGAGTGTTGGCATCCAAGGAAGGGAGTGTTTGAGGAGCATCTTACATCAACATGTGTGTCGAGAGAAATAGGTTCAAAGGAAATAATATTAACACCCGAGGTTGGTCACATTTTCGTATTCAATGCAAAGGAGCAAACTTTGAATTCGACATGTGGTGGACCCATGAAAATCCAAGGGTCAACGATCATTAAATACAAAGATTGCATAATAGAGATCAATGGCAAGATATATGATGATAGAGTACCACAAGGAAGGGAGGAGTACATAAAGCTCACAACAATGAGAAACGACAAGATAATTATTAATGACACCATAGGTGACTTAAACCTTGAACAAATCCATTTGGAGGATGTTCAAATCCACAAATCAACGGCCCTTGAGATTATGTACCAAAATCGCCATGTAACGGCAATATACATAATCCTGATAATCATCTGCATAACGGTGATCATTATCTGGAGAGTTAACAAGTCAAGGACGACCTTCTACCCAACCAACCTGTTTCATGATGTCGCGATGGACATTCCTTCATTGTGGCCAACGATCCATTCTCGGGGGGGAGGAGTTACCGTACCGGTACCCGGCCACCCGCCGGCCAAACCTCCTCGAGCTACCCTGCAATCGTCGGCAGAGGGGTGACGCAAGTTCAGGGCTCCAGACCAAAATGCAACATCAGCATTTTGACCGGATGGCAGGCAGACCACTACTCGACACAACGTGACAACAAAGTCACTATAAAAACATACATATGTACATAGATATAAGAACCATAAGCAAAAGCTTTTATTGTAATAAAGATCAGTCGAAAGACAAACATTGACCGACGAAGAGTCTTAAATTATTTGCGGATTAACATAACTCCTATACCTTGAACGACGAAGAGTCTTAAACCACTCACTGACTAACATAACTCGCGCGCTCGCACCGAACGAGAGAGTGTCACCACTCTCACCACTCTGCGCGAGCAGCGCTGCCTGCCTGCCAGCGTAGGTGGATTTGGTGTCTCGCTTGCGCATAGCTTTGCTCTCTCTGCTCTCTGCCTAACTGTTCGCTCGCACAATTCATGCTCTCTGGCTGATTCTTCTGCTAAGTGTTCTCTTATTTCAAGTTGGCATTCGTTGCTGCGCGTCTTCATTCCCCATCCCTTTTACCTATTGAAAAAAGGAGAACAAACATTGGTTTTTTTTTTAGCTTTTTAAAATTTTAATTATAATTAATAAATTAATTATAAATTAAAACATCTCCTAGGCCTTAGTTTAGGCATCACTGCTAAGCAGCTGCTCCTTCTGCGAGTCCTCTACGCCGAAGAAGAACTGGAATACCAGGAAGACCTGCATCCACCCAGTAAGTACAGCAGCTGCCACTGTGAATGGAAAAGAAACTAAATTAAATATCAAAACTATAAAAGGCGTTGGATCCCTTACTAATCACATGCCGGTATTTGGTTAGTCTGCGGAACGCCTTCTCTTCTCGTACTGTTTGCGTATGGAAATAATGCTTGAGTTTATTGCTGATGAAAGTCCTCACAGCTGCAGGCAGATTTTGACACTTTTTATTTGGTTTGTTCCTCCTTGGGTTGAGCTTGCGTCGGTGCCAGCTGGAGTAAATCGGCAGACGAACGTAGTCCTTTCCACGGGCAACTTCGGGAACAGCAGCCATTATTGAGAAGTTTTTTACCTAAACAAAATATATATTTTTAATTATTTTTGGGGGCTCAATTTGGGAAACTCGAATGTTAATTATAGTGTTCTTTTTTTTACATTTAAGTTCAAGTATTCCAGGGCCTACTGTGCTGCATAGTTTTTATACCCTTATTCAACAAAAGAGTTAAGGGGTATATTGTATTTGTGTTATACAATCATCTGTATAATCTACATGTTAGATGTAGAATATACATAGTAGATTAGATAACAGATGTAGCAAAATTGCCTGTTCAATTTGGCATTAGGTTAGGTAGGTTATGTTAACCCAGACGGCCCTCACGGGGCCACGCATAGGCCAATATGGCCCTTAGTTGTCCGGATGGGGGTGTATGAACCTTTCGAAAATATTTATGAAGTTTTGAAGTCCTTAAGGATCGAAGTGTTTTTGGCAAAGGCTAGCAGTTCCCCCTGGCGTCCTCTTGGAGGCATCTTCCAGTTATGCCAGTACCGGGGCGCCCAGGTATATTCTCCTAGCCCTTGAGAGAGCCGGGCAGTTGCAGATGAGATGTTCCAGGGTTTCAGTTGCCCCGGATTCCTCGCATTTCCTGCAGTTGCCACTGTGGGTGATGCCTAGTTTGACAGCATGTGCCGCGGCCAGACAGTGACCTGTGAGTATTCCCACCAACATTCTGCAGTCCTTCCGTGGGAGGTGCAGTATGTAGTGGCTGAGTTTCCTGTTGCGCTCCTTGCACATGGTTTTTGAGGTTCTGCAGGTGGTGGTTCTGCTCCACCTGCTTCCTGCCTGTGTGTCGGCCCGTTTCTCTAAATCGCTTTGGAGCGTTCTAAGGGAGACAGGCACGTTCTCAGTACTGCCGTTTGCCAGCCCGACGCCGTCCTTAGCCAGACCGTCCGCCATCTCGTTGCCATCGATGCCTTGGTGGCTGGGAACCCAGTAGATCCGCACTGACTTTGTCGTGCTTAGGATATCTAGTGCCTCCCTGCTTGCCAAGACATTTCTGGAACTGACCGCCGACGACTGCATGGATCTTATCGCCGCCTGGCTGTCCACGAACAGGTTGATCACGTCGTGTGGACGATCCCTAGACTGAGCAGCCTCTGCCGCTTTCCGTATGGCGAAGACTTCCGCCTGGAATATGCTGCATTGGTCCGGGAGCTTATAGGACAGCCTTATCTCAGGGTCTGTACAGTATATGCCTGCTCCTACTCCTCCTTCCATCTTGGAGCCGTCAGTATAGATGTTGAGGTGTTGAGTCTGGTCCCAACCCCTTTTCCAATCGTCGGGTCCCATGTATGAGGTTGTTTTTACATCCAGGCCAGTTTGGGGGATCATGTAGTCAGATATACTGGTCATGTCTCGGCCAATTGAACTGTGCCCGAATCCTTGTAGAGACATATTGCCTGATGCTACTAAGCGTTGTGCCGCCTTTCCTGCAGTCAGTTGAGCGTGGATGTCCAGGGGGTCGATTCAGATTATGGTTTCGAGAGCTTTTGTTGGGGTTGACCTCAGCGCCCCCGTAATGCAGAGCAGTGCCTGCCGCTGGGTCCTTTCCATAAGCTTATTGTACGTCTTCTTTTCTGTCGCTTGCCACCACACTAAGACTCCGTACAGCAGAGTCGGTCGCACCACCGAGATGTAGATCCAGTGCATTAGAGCAGGTGACAGGCCCCATGTGCTGCTAAGCATCTTCTTGGATGCGTATAGCGCAATGGTGGCCTTCTTCACCCTTTCCACTACATTGGGCCTCCATGCCAGCTTGCTATCCAGTACTTTGCCGAGGTATTTGACTTGTGCTTTCGGGGTCAGCCTGGTTTTATCAATTTTCGGGGGGATCCATGCCGGTACCTTGTATCTCTTGGTAAAGAGGATGAGGTCCGTCTTGTCCGCGTTGATACTGAGTCCTACTTTTCCTGCCCACTCACATATCTCCCTGAGTGTTGATTCCATTATGGAGCTGAGGGTCGATGGACATACTCCCGTAATAATTATGCTTATGTCATCTGCATAGGCTGTTATTTTTGGGGCTCTCCTCTCGAATCTCTTTATTAAGTCGTCGACCACCAGGTTCCACAGGAGGGGCGACAGGACCCCACCTTGTGGTGTGCCTCTATGCACCCCCCTCACCATGGAAGCGGTGCCCCACTCTGATTGCACCCGTCTGCAAATTAGAAGGTTCTTTATCCAGAGGTTGATTGCGGGATGTGTGTTGGTCGCTTCTAGGCGGTCCATAATAGCGTTCGTAGTGACGTTGTTGAATGCTCCGGATATGTCTACGAACACTCCTAGAGCATACTTTTTATTATGGACGGTTCTCTCGATGGTGGCTACTAGCGAGTGCAGTGCCGTCTCTACCGATTTCCCTTTGGTGTAGGCATGCTGGTTGGTTGACATCAGTCTCCCTACATCATTCCTGATGTGTAGATCCAGCAGCTTTTCTAGTGTTTTGAGTAGAAAGGATGTAAGGCTTATCGGTCTATAATCCTTGGGGCTCATATGGCTGCACTTTCCTGCCTTTGGAAGGAAGACAATCCTCGAGGTCCTCCATTGGATAGGGATATAGCCTGGGCTCAGGCAAGCTGAGTATATTGCAGAGAGCCATGGGGTGATCACGTCTTTGGTCACCTGTAGCATGGCTGGGAATATACCGTCTAGTCCAGGTGCTTTTGTACCCGCAAAGGAGTCTATAGCCCAGTGGATTTTCTTAGACGATATGAGACCTGTTGGGGGATGCTCTTCCTCAGTTACTAGGTCCTGATGCGTTGTAGCGTCAGCAACCTCGGTGCATCCTGGGAAGTGAGCTTCCATTAGTGCTGTTAGGGCTGCTTAACTGCCCTCAGTCCACTGTCCATCTTCTCGCTTCAGCTGACTCTGTATGGTAGGTTGCTTTGATAGCAGCTTCCGAAGTCTAGCCGTTTCTGGGACTTTCTCGATATTGGAGCAGAAGTTCCTCCACGAGTTTCTTTGTGCCCTGCGTATTTCCTTCTTGTACTCCCTGAGTAGGATTTTGTATTCCTCATTGATTATCTCCTCGTTCGCCTGTTTGGCGATTTTGAAGAATTCTTTGAGGTTGTTTCTTTGAAGCGATAAGTCCCGGTTCCACCAGAGTGGTTTGGTCCTCTTTTTCGTTCTCGAGGGTGGGCATGATGCGTGGTACGCATCCAGTAGTTCCTTGGACAGGGTCTCTAGGGACGTTTCTATGTCTTCCGGGGATTTCACTGTGCCCGGGCGAGTCGCGAGCTTGGAAGTAACTGTTTTTTTAAACTTTTCCCAGTTTGTGTTCCGGGGGTTTCTATAAACAGTTATCTTCGGAGAGTGTTTAAATTCGCACTTGAATTGAATGTACTTGTGGTCTGAGAAGGATGGTCTTTCAAGGACTCTCCAGCCAGATACCAAAGTACTCTTTCCCGTTACGAGTGTTAGATCTAGTACGTTGGACGAGGTGGGACCTACGAAGGTTTGTTCCTCCCCTACGTTTGCTACATCTAGGTTAGTTGATAGTATGAAGTCTAGAAGTGACTCACCTCTGTAGTTGATGTCGGGGCTTCCACACCCGCTATGGTGGGCATTGGCGTCCGTACCAACCAGAAGTTGCTGTTCTTTCGGGCTGGCATCCGCCATCAGACTCCTTAGCTTTGGCATTAATATTTCGTTGAAAATTGCTTTGGCTGAAATTTCTTCGAAATACTTCCTGCCCTACTTGAAAATTTACTGTTCGCGTTCTCAAATTGTACTGTTGCGCGTTCTTTTCGTACGCTTCCGAAATGTTAACTTTGATTAACTTTCGAAGTAACTTTAATTGATCGTCTCTACCTAACACATTCTCGGATTCACCTAGGAGACTTAACTTTCTCAGCAAATCAATTTGTGCCCTGTGGGTCGTCATATCAAACCCATAAAGCGCATGATAAGGTGAACACCTATTGCTTGATGACGTGCGTTGCGTAGAGCACAAATAATCAGGTGGATATACTCATCCCACTCTCGGTGATCTTCGCGTAGGTATGCTCTTATAGCCGCTACCAACGATCGATTGACTCTTTCAGAAGCATTGGATTGCGGTGAATACAAGGCGGTGTATGTATGTTTGACCCCTAAGGAAGTCAACCATGCATTCAATTCTCCAGCTTTAAACTGAGAACCATTGTCGCTTACCAAAACTTCTGGAACGCCATACATGCAAAATATATGATTCTCCAAATACTCTGATTACTAAATGAACCACCATCGTCATGTTCCGTCCGGATATATACAAAATTATCGATGACCTTTACGTCCGGATAATTTTCCTGGTTTCCTTCAACTTTTAGGCGTAGCTTCTCATAATCTTTGTCCTTGAAGCACGACGAGTTTAAATCGACTTCGGGACCGATTTGTTCAAGGGAAGCTATTTCGGTATAAATGCGCGATAATGCGTCTGGCACAACATTGTCTTGACCTCGTCTATGACTCACGCTGAATTTATAGCCTTGCAATCGCATAGCCCATCGCGCTAATCTTCCTTTCAGATTTGGTTGTCACATTAGCCATACTAAACTAGCGTGGTCAGAGACTACTTCAAACTCCTGCAACTCTAAGTAACACCGAAATCGTTCTATGGCCTCCAGAGCTGCTAGACGAGTGTCTGTAACGTTCTGTAACGCTATAATTGCGTTGAGCACTATTTAGCTTTTTGGACATAAATGCCACGGGACTCTCTACTCCCTCGTCTGATAACTTGGTCAATAACTTCTTAAGTTTATCAAACGCGTCTTGCGCTGCTGCCGTCCATTCAAACTTCTTCTTTGTCGACAGAAGTTCTGTAACGGGAAACGTTACGTCAGAGAAATGTTCTATGAATCTTCGGTACAACCATGTCCTATTACAAATCCAAGATACGGGACTTCCGTGACGCAAAACTTTGTTTTAGCGATATTCAACGTTAAATTTGCTTTCCTAAACCGATCCGCCAATTGAATTAACACCGATAAGTGAGAATCGAAATCTTCCGAGACTACACACAAATCATCAAGATACCCAAACACGCAGTATTTTAGCTCTGGAGGGATCAATTCATCCATCAGGCGACATATCGACTGAGGAGCGTTACAAAGTCCAAAAGGCA